AAAGAAAGAAAGAAAGAAAGAAAGAAAGAAAAAGAAAAAGAAAAGGAAGGAAGAAAGAAAAAGAAAGAAAAGAAAGAAAGAAAGAAAAAGATCTTCATTTCACAGATGGGTCAACTGAGGCACAGGAAAGTTTAATTAGCACAGTAAAAAGCTTTCTGTGGAAAGTTAATATCCTTTTGGAAGCACATCCATGGCTCATATTTAAAAACCCTGGTATAGATAGTGCCTCTGAAAAGAGTAAATATTCAAAAAAAGATTTACTCCCAGGACCACATCACTCAGCAGTCAGTAAATAATTTAAACCTGTCCCCTGTCTTATCCCAACCAGGGAGCCTCCCCAGGGCTTAGGTGAATGCAGTCCTCAGAGAGAGAAGCCTGTGTGCCCTGGTTTGCAACCAGCAGCCATTTCTTCACCCTTCATTGGGGGTGGGGTGGGTCTTCCCTTTTTTCTTTCTTCTCAGTCCCTCAGAGGTTGTAAGCTTCCTGTCTTTCCCCCCAGAAAGTGCCATCTTCAGGAGACCACAGCAGTCATGCCCTGCCCATTGTTGTCCTTAGCACATCCAAAGTTAATGTTACCAGCAGCGCCCAGGAGCAGAAGCTCTGAATAATGACTTGTTGGAGAACCGGTTTTCTAAAGATAAATTATCATGAGTATTTAGTAGGGGCAAACAGCTCTAATTCTACCCAGGAGTAGAAAAGAATACACTTTTTAAAGGCAGCTCAAGAAAGCTGGATTTGGAGTCAGGCTGACTTGGGCTTTCATTCGTGGCCCATACGCTTTTCTGCCTCTTGGCTGAGAGGCCTGGGGCAAGCGACTTAACTTCTCTGGGCCTGGAATTTATAATTGTATATAATCATGATAATACTCAAAAGTCTGCTGTGAAAATTAAAATGGAATCAGGATGTGTAAAGAGCTTTCCAAACTGGGAAGTGTGAAACGTTAAAAGGGCGGGCAACACGCACAGTCTTATTTTAACAAAGGCTGAATTAGAATGTTCTACCGAAAGCTACGTCACAGCTACACCTGATGTCCTCGGGCTTCACGCTGACGTAGGGCCCAGGACTCTGGTTTTCAGACCAAGTGCTCTGACTTGAAAATTCCTAGTTGTTGGAGCATGAGACAGACAACCAAGTTCCTAAAAGTAAGTGTGTGCTGTTCTAGAGCCTGAACTCCACTGGAGTCTTTACTCTCTGAAATCCAGGGAAGACAATGGCTCATTGGCAAGTGGGCTAACTAGGCTGCTGTTGAGCACGGGCAAGGGACTTTAATCCACCACCACCAAAGGGTGTCAAACTGAGTCCAGCTGTTGTGAAGGTTTTGATTCACTTCCAAGTGACTGGGAAGAACACCAAGATCCTTCCACTGAGATTTGCAAACAGGCCACCAAGCAGAGTAATGCTCTCTGCAGAGATTGTGAGGGCAGGGAGCTGTGGGAGAGTGATGGGGAGGTGCCGGGGCGCTCAGTGACCTGAGCCAACAGTGAACTCACTGGTTGATTTGGTCAAGTCACTTAACTTCTCTGGGCCTTAATTTTCTCATCTGTAAAATGAGATGGTTGAACTGCATGATTTCTTAATTTACCTTCTAGTTTATTGATCAAGGGCTCCTTGCCCTGCTTTCTCGCTATGATACCAAACCTCCTCTTTTTAAGCAACAGGCTGCCAGATCTATTTCTCACTGTACAAAATCTAATGTAGCTCACAATCAAAGGTAACCCCCTGAAACTTTTTTCTTTTTGCCTTTAAAAACCAAAGAAGAAAGAAGGCAATACCCACAAAAGGTTATATAAGTAAAAGCTACACTTCTTTTGGGTGATATTTTAAAATTATCTGGGCTAGAGAAAAATGGTACCTTTTGATAAAGTTGCAAGACTCCTTATATTTCACCCAGATCATATATATATATATATATATATAGAGAGAGAGAGAGAGAGAGAGAGAGAGAATGAGAGAGAGAGAAAGAGAGAGAGTGAGAGAGAGAGAGGGGAGAAAAAGAGAAAAGAGAAGAGAAACATTTCCAAGTGACACTTTAAGAGTAGTTTCTTTTTTTTTTTTAAGGTTTTTATTTATCTATTTGACAGAGATAGACACAGCAAGAGCAGGAACACAAGCAGGGGGAGTGGGAGAGGGAGA